CCAGGGTCCAGCACTGGTGGGTTAGGGTTGGGGCAGGGGGTCCTGCTGAGGGGGCTGGCGTCAGCAACCCGGGGGCGGGGGTGCAGGTCGGGGCACGGGTGTGGGCAGGACTCACAAGGCAGGGTCACGGGCACGCCTCCAGCAGTCGTGCACACCCTGCGGGACACGAGGGGCAGCAGCGTCCTCAGGATGCTGAAGTCATTGACGAAGAAGAAGAAATCGCTGGTCGGCTGCGAGGCGACCCGCTTCAGCTCCTCGGGGTCGGCGTTCTTGATCCCTGAGGTGACACCCAGTCAGGGCTAAGGTGCCCACATGCCCTTGCCTGGTCCCACCCTAGTTCGGGACTCACCCACAGCAAACAGCTTGACCCCCTGCCCCTTCAGCCGCTGAGCGGCCGGGTCCACCAAGTCCTGGGACTTCCCGTCTGTGATCAGGATGCAGACCTGGTGCAGAGGCAGGGTGCGGTCAGGCCGGGGCTGCCCGGACACCACGTGGGGGGTCGCCTCGGGAGGCATGGCAGGGTTAGGGATCACCTTGGGGACGCCAGGTCGGGCCAGCTGGGGCAGGAAGACATGGTCAGCCACGTGGAGAATCGCAGCCCCGGTGCGGGTGTTGCCCCCCTTGTAGCTGAGCTCACGGATGGCCCGGATCACATCGACCCCGGAGCCAAGCGCATCCAGGCCAAACTCTGTCCTGTTGGAAGGAGGGGCAGTGACAGGCTCGGTCAGACCTCTCTGGCCCTGGCCTCTAGGGTGAGGGTTGTGGGTATGAAGCCCTCTACAGGGTCCTCTTGGTTCTGGGATTCCTGCCCCCCAACTCCGAAGCCCCCAGGTTGATAATCCCAGGTGCCCCAACCCCCGAGAGCGAGAGAGCGCTGTGTGAGGCTGGGCTTGGGAGGGGCAGGCTGGAGCTCACTGTCGGGGAAGGATGTCTGGCTAATTAAATAATCACAGGAGGAAGGGCCCAGCTGGAGGAGGTGGCCGTGGGCCAGCCAGGGAGCACTTCTAGGGACTGGAGAGGCTGAAGACTCGAGGGACTGGTGCAGGCTCAGGACAACCCACCCCGGCTGGGCGCCCCATCTCCAGAGCAGGAACCCAGTCTCCCTGTCTTTGGCAGGAGGCATTCAGGGTGTGACCCCCACCTAGGGAATCCGTCTCCAGAGGAGGGCCTGGCTAGGCCGGGGTTCCCAAGCCTGTTTCTAGAAGGACCTGGTCTGGGTTTCGGGGCTCTCCAGGGGGACTCCCCTCAGCCCGCAGGCCCACTCCTCACCGCGGGTCGTCACTGTACTGCACCACTGCGAAGCGCACGCCCTGCGCACTGGCGGCCCCGGAGAAAGGCAGCACCAGCCCCTCCAGGAAGCCGCGCACTTCACGGAAGTTGCTTCTGCCGATGGACGAGGAGCCATCCAGCAGGAACACGATGTCCGCGGCGTAAAGGCGCGTGCAGGTCACTGGTGCCGGGAAGGGAGATCACGACCTCTCCTGGGAGCTCCCGCGCCCTCCCGCAGGGTGGTCCCTTGGGACGCGGGTGGGGTGGGGTGGAGGGCAGGCCTTGCTTGTGCAAACTGAGGATGGGCAGGTACCACCTGGAGCCCCAGGGGGAGCCGCGCTGGGGCTCAGAGCAGACTGTCCCGATGGGGTTTGGGGTGTGAGGGAGGGAGGGTCGCCCTCCCGGGTGTGGATCTAGGACTCAGGTCAGCCAGCGTGGGATTGGGGGCACCGGGTGGCATAGGGCAGGGGACCCAGCGGACTTCCAGGGAGCCATAATTAGGGGCTGAACAGGTTAAGGGACGGTTTGGGGAACCCAGCCAGTGACCACTGAGGGTTCATGGAGTTGGAGAAGTTAAGGGGGCTCCATGCGCGGGGGGCTAAGGGGATGATCGAGTGGAGGTGAGGGTGACAGGGCCCCCATGGGATCCGTCCCGGTCGTTCCCACCTCTCTCCCTGAGCTGGGCCCCCACTCCAGGCACCGCCGCCAGGATCCCAGCGCAGAGAGCGGCCACCAGGAGCCACAGCTTCATCCTAGGTCGTGGAAATGTCAGCCAGGACCCCGCTCTGTCCCTTGCCCACCACCCAGCGCCCTTGGCAGTCCAAGCTCGGCTCCCCCAACCCTGGGTCCTGGACTTGCCTGCGTCTCCGCCGCTCCCGCTCGCGCCGCCGCTGCCCCTCAGTCCCGCGGCCCGGCAGAGAAAAGTCCCCGATCTTGGGGGGCGGAGCAGCGGGCGGGGACCCAGGTGGCCCGCCCTCTCCCACCCTCCCCACCCCACCCGAAAGATAATACGGCGCACTTAAGTGTAATGCACCCTCTCTCATGGCTTCTGGGGATCCCCCCGAAAAGTCTGAGCAG